GTAGGTGCATGAGTGAGCAACAAGGTTGTATAGTAGTGTACAAACTTAAGAATTAATAAAAGATACAAGAGGCATGATCTCACCTTAGCATCGAAAAAAAAAAACAAATGATAAATGGTCTAATATTCATTGATTGCTAGTAATTAACTATATGATTATAGCACCAAGACTATTTTTTTATAAAGAAATATTTACTGGTGAAAAACATTATGCAGCAATTAATATAGCTAGAGAAATTGAAATTATTATTAATGAAGTTGGTGAAAACAAGATTGCTGCAATTATTACAGATAATGCTAACGTTATAAAAGCAGTATGAGAAATTTTATGAATATTATTTTCACAAAAAGTATTTATTAAGTTGTTTATAATAATTTATTTATTTAAATATAATTTATATATATAGTATAATTTAATTTTTAAATTATAATTTATTAGATTTTTTAGAGTATTAGGCACACAGACTTAATCTTTGGATAAAAGATACCTGAGTTATATCTTCACTAGGTTATATTCTAACATGAGTTATATTCCTATATTTAAGCAAAACAAATTTTTTCTTTTTTATATGTTTTTATATATTTTATATATTGATTATATTCTACTTTAGTTATATCTCCAAAAATGCTTTGTAAAAAAGGGTGATATAACCAAGGTATAACTATATTAACTTAAAGTAAGCATGTCAAATTATACAATCTATAAAATAAATTCTTAATTATTTTCAAAATCATCAAATAAGCTTAGCAACATTACATTAACTTCAAATAGAAGTTTATAATAATCATATATCTTTATTACTTTCTGAAAATACTTAATGAAAATCTGTATTTTATTCAGCAAAAAATCTTCTAGAAACCAAAGCAGCTTTTCAAAGAATAACATTAAAAGATAATACTAAAATTTTTAACGAAATTAAAAATTTAATTTTATCAGATAATTTTTGGTTTAATCTTAAAAATCTTTGTAATTTTCTTTTACCTTTTGCTATTTTTTTAAAAAAATTACAAACTAATCAACCTACTCTTTCAACTATTTATTCAGAGTTATATAAACTAAAAATCTTTATTTCTAAAAATTCTAAAATCCTAAATGACTTAAAAACTAATTCAATTAGTAAAGAAATGGAATGATGAAATAACTTTCTTTATAATCTAGTAATTATATTGGTATACAAACTTAATCCTCAATATCAAGGCAAAACTTTAAATCCAAAAAAGGGAAATTCAATTATTGATGAATTAATACGATTAGTATCAAGTCAAAATCAATAAATTATATTAAATGAATATGCAGAATATGTTTCCAAAAAAGGATATTTTGCACAACTATATTTATACAATTCTAATCTTATACAAAATCCAATTAATTGGTGGAGTTTATTGAAAGATAAATATCCTATATTAAGTAAGATAGCTTTATGCATATTATCAATACCACCTACTTTAACAGTTTGTAAAAGAAATTGGTCAACTTTTAGCTTTATATATAATAAACTGCATAATAGACTTAATTATCCAAAAGTAGAAAAATGTGTTTATTTTCAATGGAACTTACGAATTTTAAAAGATCTGAGCCAAATAGATGAATTAAATAAAAATATAGATCTTGTTAAAGATTTGATGATGGATAATGAAAATTTAGAAGAAAATGTATTTGACGATTTATTTTCAGCAATGAGTTAATAACATATGATGAAAATGGATATATAGATATTAGTAGTGATTCATAATTAAAATTGAAATAACATTCTTTGTTAAAATGTAAGTATAAATAATAAAGATAAAATATTGAATTAAAAATAAAAAGTTAAATATTAACTAATAATTTACAGATACAAAGAAATTATTTTGCTTGCTTATTTGCTTGGATATTATAATAGAATTAGAAAAACAAAATATTTAGTTGTCAAAAACTTGTAGTTATAAAAAACCAGACAAAATTGCAAATTATCGAATTGATAAATTAACAATTGTTAAAATTATTTGTTTCGGTGTAAAATTAAAAAATTTAACCTACAAGGTAATGCTACTAAAAAATAGCATTTATAGTGTAACTTCATAACGATAAACAAAAATTTTGATTTGTTATACAAAATCTTAAAATCTTGTTGATTTTGAACTAAATATGTTGTACAAAACTTACAAGTAAGTTACCAGTAAGTTACTATTTAAGTAACTTCCTATAAATTATCATAATTTTACAACCCTGCTCAATCATTAGCAAATTACATTAATGGAACTTCTTGAGAACAGCCAAAGTCGAAAAAACCTGGCACAAAGATTACATATTTATTTCATAAGGTTCTGATTAATCAAGATTTAAAATTTTTCATTTTGCATCATAAATTTGCAGTAAAATTATTAGATATACTTCAATTACAGTATTTCTTTGACATGTATACTCTCTGTGAGCTGTACTTGTAATGGTTTTAAAGCCAAATTTCGATTTATACCTAGGTACCTGTATGATATTATTTGCTTCTGTATTCAATTAACTTATTTTAATTACTTAGATTAATAAATATTTTTTATACTTATATATTAAATTAACAATTATTATAAAACGCACCTATGGTGGTTTTGCACCAATTATATGTTTTTTAAAATTATATGTTTTTGTAAGTTTTGTATATAAAATTTTTAACACAATTTTTTCACGTTAAAGTTAATATTAAGGTTAGGATTAGGGTTTGGGAAGGATTTTTGGGGGCGTAGAACATTTTTACTTAGAACACTTCACACCGATTAATTAGCCAGTTTTTGATAAAATGTATACATAGGTGTAAAACACCATAGGTGCGTTTTAGTAAAATTCTTAAATTAATAAATTAAAATAATATTAAATAGTAAATATTCATGAATTTGAATTGCCATTTTAAATACTTAGATTAATAAATGTCGCGGCTGAAGCTTGAAACGGCTAAAGCTTGAAATTTTCAAAAAATTTTGGGGTGCATTTTTTTAGCTTTTTTTTATAGCAGTTTGTATTTTAATAGTACATTATCAGCACTGCTAAATTGTTTATTTTTAACAAGTTTAATTTAGACAGATATTTATAAATTATTTGTCCAAGTAAAATATATTCAGCACCTAAAAAATTATATAAACATATACGATCAATTACATCAAAAAAGATCATAAAATTAATCCATTATAATAGCTTTTGGCTGCAATGTTGGTCCTTCGAGATGCCGGCCTTCCACAACCGGTTGGCGCTGCCTGTTGGTCTCCATGGTAATTTTTTCTAATATAATATATATTTTTAATTTTTGAATCTTCCTGATCGTGTTACGTTACACCTAATCTTGAAATCTGATTCGTAGTTCTGGAGATCTGCACTACCAACCTTGTACACATTTACGAAATGCCGTAATTTGAAGTAAATACGTCACTTATTTTATCTGAAATCGGATGCAAATCATTAATTATGAATTTAAAACAAATATTTATTTGGATAAAAATTATTAAAAATTGGTTATAGCTTAAAATTGAGTATATAAACCTATTTTTTGGGTTCAAACAAAAAAATTTCTTGCCAAATTTTGTTATAAAATATCCTTTTTTACCCGCATCCTATCTTTACCTTAACTATGACTAACAAAAAATATGCTATTTGAGTAATACTATAGTAGTCTATAGCCACAAATATATATCAATTCTTTAAATAAATATATAAATTTTGAACATAGTTTAATAATCTAAATTATAATATATATAGAAATAAGTAATAAATTTGATTAAATATAAATACTACAAGAATCTTTTGCAGTATAGATGACACCACTAATAACATGTACAGTCAACCTCTATATAATCACCTAGTTGGGAGCATAAGAACTTTTTAAAAATGTGTCTATAAAATTTCGTCCTTAAATATAGATTTTTTCTATATATTTATAGTTTAAAAAAATTAAGGTCTTATATAGAGGTTTGATTATAAAAATTAGACTATATAAAGATCTGACTGTATTATTAATCAATTGATTTAGAATAGATGTCACCTATACTGCTAGAGTTCCACTAAAATTAAATTTAAATTTAATATTAACCAGTAGGAATTTCAACCGTATTGATAGATTTACTTGGTAAAGTTTCTAATATTATAAAATAATTATTTTAAATAAAAAATAATTTTTAATAAATTTTTAAAACAAATACCTTTAATAGCATTAATTGCATCTGATATTTTTTGTGTATTGATTATTTTGCTGGTAAACATAACGTCGGGATGTTTTGGCGAAATAATTGGCAATTCTTTAGCTATTTTATCTGCTTCTAAAAATTGCTTTTTAATTTCATTTTCTTCTGAACTTTCCATGATTCTATTCCATTCTCCAAGTTTATTAAGAACTTCTCCAGAACTGGGCCGTTTTTCTGGATCTGAATTCATGCATTGGTTAGCTAACTCCATGTAGCAATTCGGAGTTCCAGAAGCAAATTCTGGACGCAGCCCTTTGCAAATCTTAATTGCAAGACTTGTATTAAATTCATGACCATCAAAGGGTCTTTGACCGATTGTTATTTCAGCCATGATAATTCCAAAACCATAGATATCAGCTTTTTGTGTAAACTTTGTTTCACCTAACAAAACCTCTGGAGCAACATATGGCATGACTCCATAAATATCACCTGAAACACATTCATCTTTCTTTCTAGAAAATCCTAGATCTGCAATATAAGATTGCACATTTTCATTTGTGCTTTTGTCTTGCAAAATGTTACCACTATGAAAATCAGCATGGATGTAATTTGCTAAGTGAATCATATATAACTCATATGTAATATCCCCAAGTATTTGCAATTTATTCTGCCACGCAAGTTCTCTAAAATTATCTCTTATATATTTATTAAGACTGCCATCACTCGCATGCTGAAATACTATCATGTATTCATTTGTTTCTGTATTTTGAGTTATTCCATATATTGTGAGCTTAGTTTTCCAGTATTGTAATTTACATGTTATAAGACTTTTAAACTTAAGATTTAAACAATAAATTAGGTTAATAAATTATTAGATAAATTATACAATCAATAATTAACTTACTTCTTTTAAAAAATCATTGTTTTCATTAGAACTTGTCAATGTTTTGAGCACAACGGTTTTAGACGGCTCGCGCGTTCTTACATAATTAAAATCACTACCATCAACTTTTCGTATGCCATCCGACCAGGTTGCTGAATATACAGAGCCGAATCCTCCTTTACCAATTTTTTTAACATCAGATAATCTATCAAACGGAATCCACTCAATCGCATCTTCATATTTCCATGTTCTAAGTTGAAATTCTTTCATGCAATCATCGATATCTTTATTTTTACATGTCCATCTTGTTGCAATGTCAGGGTCACATGAACGACACCATGCTGGTTGCGTGTTATCTTCATTACAATATGCACATTTTCCATATTCAGAGTGGCTATATAATACATAATATTTTATTTCATCTGCAAATACTATTTTAAACTTATTTGAGTGCCGAAAAGAAAAAATCTGTCATCGGCTTTAATTATTAAATTTTGTATCGGACACAATCACTAATAAATCAAATAGATTAAATCCAGTACAAA